CTAACAGAGAACCCACCCCAGCTTAACTGTTTAGTCCGATACGCCATGTAAGCTTTGTGGATCCCCAATTGCAAATACATGCTAACAATAAGTGCGGACAAGGTTTTCTTGAAAAGGAGGCGAAGCTTCTTCGCAAAGCCCCACCCCACTAAGTTGTTATATGGGACAGACTTTGCACCACCACACAATGTTAGGTGAATAGGGCGCGCTTTCTCTCCCTACTTGTGCCCCTCGTGCTCACACCTATGAGGTAAGTGGAGCTCACTGAGAATATAAAAGCCATACTTGTCCGCTCACTGGTATGTGATGTAGAAAAGTGCACAATCTCACGTTGAAGCGGTAACTGAACAGAAATAGAATTGTGGGGACTGTTACCCGCCCATCAGAAATATAGTCGTCAAGGTTCGCTAAGCTAAATGATAACGTGACTATACTGTATACGTTCGCAAAAGTAGCAGGATCAGAAAACAGGTCTTGGGTTCTTTGTTTGCCCCGGTTCTTGCATGTAGCAGCAATCGGATGCTTCTGTTTGTACTCAATAGATAATGCGGAAGCAGCCTGACGTGCTCATTTGGAAGGCATGTATTCTCAGAGCTATATTTACTGACACTGCTTGTTCATACTTAAGAATTGGCATTGGTGATTTTATTTTAAACTTTGGTCACTCTAGACTATCAACTATTTATATGGCTGTCTTGGCTGTATATTCTGCCATGGGGGCTTCTATTCGAAGTCTCCTTCAGAGTTTTAGTGCACGCACGATGCAAAACCAACCTCCTTGATTAATGTGGTTTGAAAGCACCACTTAGTTTCAACGTTTCGCAAGTGCACAGTTATGAATTATAAACATCTCACGCTTGACCAGGAGACTACTTAAAAAACATACGGTGGTGTATTTAAAACTTGCCTCATTCTTGCAGCGTCTTTTGCCACACTATCGTTAACTTGCCGTGAATAAACTTCAATGACAGAAGTTCGAGAAGAGAAGAGTTATAACTGGTATCATAATACAACACCTTACGCTAATATAAGTAAAGGAACACAAATATTATTTTCGTAGAAATGGCGAACACCTTTTTAATAGCTGCAATTTCACATTGCCTCCCACTCGTTTCATGCAGAGTCATCTATACAAGTTACTTTCCCAAATATAAATATATATGAGTGTGTAAGTGCCCCATCAGTCAATCTGTTGGATAATGAATACAAGTATCTTTTCAGTTTAGTTGCCGTTTCAAGAGTAGAATAAGGTGGCCTGGCGCATGCGCCATCATTTGTCCTTTCTTCTTTGTGTGATCTCCTCGCGATCTTGAGTGTATATATATATATTCCCACCATCTGCGCGAAAAAATTGCTTGTAAGTGCACGTGTGATCTGTCCTATCTCTTTGCTCTGGCTTCCTTCTACGCATTCCCTGCGCACTAAAGAAGTGTATTTCTTACAAAAACTTGTTAAACAAAACGGCGCACGAAACGTAATGACGGGTACCAATAAGTGCAAGTGTCGCAAGATAAGTGCAAAAGAAGGTCCTAGTTGTTACTTGACTGTGTATGAAAAGCGCGCTCTTTTCGCAAAGGGAGCTTGTGCACCGAGTCAAGTCACCTTTGTGGACCCGGCAACTACGACGAAATCGTTCCGATGAAAGCGAAGGGCGCACGATTCTTCGCAATCGAATGATGAGCGCACGCACACAAGGATCAACGCCCACCCCTCTTCGCTGGACGAAACACGCGTGGAAGATCAGCGTGCGTCAGCACATCGCAACGAGCTGGGCGCCGGGCAGACTTATTGCACCATGTCACAGGTAATGCTGAAAACACGCCATTTATCCAGAGATCGGCACTGCCAGCGATAAGTGGTACATATAAATAGCTTGCTGTTTGAATGTTCAAGGAGCTGCTTCTTCGTGGTTTATTGGCTAATGCCTTGTGCTCAGGAACGACTGGTCAGATGTTCGAATCCGTGCGCCAGATTATTTTTCTTGAATGTTTTATTTTCTTGTCTTTTCATATAGACAGTTACGTATAAATAGACGGTGAATGACGGCGGTGACAAACGCCGACGCCGGCGGAAAAAACCATACCGTTTTTATCGCAATACAACTCTTAAACAGCTGACCGGGGAGTCGAAACAGTGACCCCTGAATACGCAGTGCACTGTGTTAAACAACTCTCTCCCGCGCCATACGCTTGCCAACGCGATAATGGCGAGTTCTTCACAAGCACCATTTACCGCTGGTGGTAAGCAGATCACGGTAGATCTTGAGCATGTTCTGAATAACGCGACGTTATTACATGTTCTTCCTATTTGAAAACTGGCCTTCGGACGTGCAAAAAAGAGGGGCCCTTTTATGTATCCAATGAATGTAAAAAGGCAAAAATGAAAAAAATGGCAGATCCCACGTTCCGTAGAATCAATGCAATGTGAAGCATCCAGAACGTAAGAGACTATGTTTAGATTTTTCTTTTGAGCGAAATGATAGGACAATGCGCTACATATATGTACAAATGTCCGCAAAGACGTATGGACTGTTGCATTTGCTTCTATAAGCAGTTTTTTTTACAGTTGCGCAACGACGTCAGCAGCAAAATGAGTAATACCAACACTGTAATGAGTAGATTCATACGTATCGCCTATGCTTGTGAGGGTGGTACTCTTGCATAATGCTATGTAGCCCTACCTAAGTGATAAAGCTCTAATATAATATTGACATTAACTCGACTCGACGTGATTGCCTTGATCATAGGCGTACATATGTAATATCTACAAAATTATTTAGCCTGCCCTGCAACCACAATTGCCAATTTCCTAACATCGTGCCTACATAGGGTCTTTTGCCAAATCAGTTACGAGACTTGACTACACTGTGTGGTAGAACACTTGATTGCCACGTGGAAGGCTTGGGTTCAATTTCTGCTGCGACCATCATATCTATTCTCTTCAGTCGTCAGGTCAACGCTGCCGATGTAAGTTTTTACTAACACATTTGTCTTGAAATTACCCGTGTGTGTTCTAGCCGTTGCTTGTTAGCTATATCTATCACATGTGGCTCAAATTCACAATTCGTGGCCTGTCGTGAAAGAAAATGTGCCACACGTGTCTGCAGGGAAGAGTTTCGCGACATGCGGGACGGGATATTCATGTTATTTAGGTCTGCTCCTTTTAAATGCAAAGTATTTCTTAGCGAACTTCGGCGACTTTGAGCGAATATATCTATCTATCTACCTAGCCGCTTACGACTGGGTGCTCTCGTCGGCATCCCCTTAACTTAGCATGAACCAAAATTAGCATGGGAGGGTAAGATAGTTCAACAAACAAGACGCTTTATTAAAGACATGAGTAATGTCAGAATCTCGTCGCGTACATCGTCAAACACTTCGCGTAAGACAGTGGCACATACCCTCGGGCAGGTATGTGCCGCTGGTATGCGGGTATGTACCACAGGTGATTGGAACTTAGTATACGCAAGGACGACGAGAGCACACAAAGGCAATTTTAATGCGTGAGCGTAAAGGAATACCCGACATCGCTTGCGTCGACCCAACAAATACAAAGAATAAATGGCAGGGTCCCAGCTGGAATTGAACTGAAGCATTCTGCGTGGCAATGAAGCATCTTACCACAGAGCTACGCCATGTCTCGGAACTTCTTTTCAAATAGACGCTAATCTTCGTGAAACGTCAATAGTGGTCGCAGTGCTGCATACCCAGATTTATAAACATTACATATGTACTCTTTTGATACAGCCGTCACGTCATGTTGAAGTCAATTGTGGTTAGTTGCCATGCGCTCAAGTTGATTCATGTAGTAGTGTCCAGGCCCAGAATCCTGGCGAGCATCAGTCTTCATATAAGCTTCTGGTGTTGCTAATGCGCATGTTCTAGTTGCCATCTTTGCGCAAGTGCAAACAGCTGATTATGTAAACATCCGCAACTCTTCAAGATATGGCTGTGAGTGCAACATTTTTACATATATTAGCGTCATTTTGTGACGTGTCATGCAATAATAATTGCACACGGTCATTTTCCCTCTGCATGCTTCATTTAACGTCGATTCCCAAATACGGGCGAACTGCCAAATTTTTTAGTCTACTCCAAATTGAAGAGGCGGAAAGTAAGATAGATAGATAGATAGATAGATAGATAGATAGATAGATAGATAGATAGATAGATAGATAGATAGATAGATAGATAGATAGATAGATAGATAGATAGATATGCTCAAAATGCCAAGAAATGCCTTGCAATTAAAAGAAAGAAAACGCCAGGCACACCTTTTACCAGGCCCAACTATTTGGCCGCATTTGAATTGAAAAACGGGTATCTAAGAGGGTCGGGTTTCGCTCACGCTCGATTACAAGGAGAAATCGACTGTGGCACTTGTTCGCGCTTTTTCGGTGCATATCTGCGTTTTTTTTTTACCATCCTTCTTTGAGCTTCTCCTGTTTGCCCTGGGTTTAGAGCTGTTTGTGGATCTTAGTGCAACACTCCAATTTATTACTATCGCATTCACTTCTTCGTTCGTGCGCTAAAACTGTGACTTTTCTTGAAATTTAGGGTTCAAACTCAATCACCTAGATATCTTAATGACGAAATATTTTTTCTAATACATACCGAGCCCTGAAATAGACATTCAGAAAGCAACTCTCACACGGCTCAGTGATTTTCAGAGAAAATTTATACTGACCTCAAAAATGTGTCACTGGTTTTCAAACCTGCTTAGTCGCTGCGCTGTACGCGATGGATTATCTTTTTTTATCATTTTTGTTTTGTGTATGCCCACTGCATGATTACGTATGACGTCACAGTGTGGAAACCGTGTTTCTGCTTTCAAACGGGATGCGCCTCAAGGTGTGTCTGAATTAGGCGTTAGCTGATAATCAATGTCAAGTCGTACAACGAATAACAAAACGCCAAGTAGGTCATCGGCAACACCTATCGGCCACGTGACCAGCTTCTGCCGTTCACCCGCAAGCCTTTACCTTGTTTGAAAGAGGGTGTTCAACACTTGCTGTTTTGCTGCAGAACGTTTCACAATGCTCTTCGAAATTGTTCTCTGGATATTAATTTCCACATGTGCCACCTTGCTCTGGGACCCGTTATACTGGTTGACTGCGCCCACGGAGCCCAGCGTGTCCACAGGAGGCTTATATGACCGTTATGACTACATAATCGGTAAGTCAAGCGGCGCTGTTTTCTAGCACCAATCCAGATTCTTCACGGGTCCACTCTGCCTAATGCGCCAGTGTCTCAAACACGTGGCTAGCACCAGTGTCTCAATTCTGTGGCTAAGTAAAGTTTCATGGCGTTTAGGAACGTGCATTTCTGACGCCACATTGGTTGTCAAAGGCGCCCGCCTGCCAAAGCGCACGCAGGCGATGGCGACCTTGCGAAGACATCTGCCCCATCGCCCATCACCCCCACACACCGGAAAACTCTGCCGCACTCTCATGTTTCCCTGATTAACAGCCGAATGTAGCGAGAAAAAAAACATTGTGTCTACAATGCATTTGCACGCTACAAGGACCAATTTGGAGGTCATACGCTGTGTTGAAGTGAGTCGCTGTGTTCCAGTAAACCTTGTGGGGCTAGTTGGTGAATGACGCTGTTACCTTTCTCTTACTCTTCCCCGGTGATTTGTGTCATCAAATGTTCTGTTAACACGCCAAAACCCTTGTGGGATACTGGCTGTAGGCCTCCCAACCTTGGCCAGGTACAGCCCTGCGGTACCGGTCGTTCGGCGCCCCGCTCCCGCCTCCTTGCTGCGCTCTCTCGGCACGATCACGCGCTTTGCTCGCGCTGTCGTCTGGTCAATCTGCACGTGCAGCCTCACCTGTGCCTTCCTCGCAAAGTTTAAAAAAGATTACTGGGATATAGAAAAACTTTTTGGCTGTTTCAATTGCACCAGAACCGAGAGTGATAGATACATTAACAACCATGGCTGGACCGAGCAATCAAGTCGTCATTGACGATGCGTTGGAGCGAGGGCGTGTCGATGGTGGTTGGGTGGATGCAATACTTATGGGTTTCCAGCGAGAGGCGTGTCAATGATACACAGCTACATTTCTATCACGATAATGGTGAGGTGACGGCGCGATTGTAAGCGACAAGTAAACGCGCATTTGCTGTGGCAGTCGCGTCGTCTCGGAGCTGTCGGCAAACAACCACCGCGCATTCGGGTGCATTTGTATATAGCGTCCGAATTTGTAATGCTTGGATGCCAAGTTTGTCGTGAGTAGCTGGCACCAATGCAGTGCGTGGTGTTCGGTTTCACAAGATTTTCACTTTCGCCGATGTTTATCGGATAACATCGTATCGTAAGTGCAATGACAAGATTTTTTTACAGCCACCTTTCAAAGCATAATATGCGCACAAAAAAGCATGCAATTTATTCCCTCTTTGATCATGCATGTTTTCTTCAGTGCATGTTTCAATAAGATATTATCCACGCCTGATCACGCAGCGTGCTCGCTGATACAAATGTCACTTTTGTTTTTCCCAGCTTGCTTGGTCTTCGTCATAATATGCAATATCTACTAGGATTAAGCTTGTTTCTGGTTACACGAAGATTGGCCCCTGGTAACCGCTTCTCGTTTCTTGAAACCATTGAACATTTTATTGTCGCCTTGGTTTTTTGTTTTGTTTTTAGCTTGTTTTCGAAGTGGCAGATTTATATCGCTTGCGAGTCACGCGCATGGAAGGTTATATTTTACGAGCCAGAACCACGATATCATTAGGAGGCGCGCCGCGGTGTGAGGTTCCAGAATAATTCTAACTCTCCAGGGTAGTTTAACGTGCCCTTAAACTTATTTGAAGCGTAAGGCGCGACGACGACAACGCAAAGAGGGTGCACTCACACCGAGCGCCACTTCTGTTTACAGTGAGGGTAATTCCACCGTGCACCAGAAATATGCAAAACGAAACACGCCTTCTCTGTCATTCTTACGCCTAAATTTTGGCACAGTGTTACATTTCGCCTATATGGAAATGCAGCTTGTGTATGCAGGAAAAGAACACACAAATTTGACCTTAGCGTCACAACACGTCAGCCTGCTAGCTTTTCGGTGTGTGTTGCTTGCATGACTTATACGTGTAAACGCTCAGCGCGAACACGCAGCCAAAACCTGTTTACATTGAACAGTGATCAGAAGTCTACCGCTATCAGCTGAATAAAACACCTGCTGGGCTCACGGCACGTGTTTTAATTCTGGTGTATTAAGCTGGCCATCTCCACCACTGTCGCTTTACAAATGGTTGTATCGGAAAGTCAGTGCGCAATCTGAAAATATACCGCATCTGTCTTTTTGCTGTAACTTCAATTCACAAACGCACTTTTTTTTCATATCAGTCCGGCCATAACATTCCACCCAGGTATTAGTTGGCAATACTGTGCACGACGAAATTCGTCAGAGACAAGTCCGGGGAAGTATCAGCGAACAAGCATAGTCCACTTTTCCCGCCTCTAATGCTCGCCCTGCTTGTATTAAAAATGATAGAACTTGACGGGCAGTTCTCAGTTCTTTGTAACTTTGAAACTTCTATAGCAACTGACAATGCAGAAGGAGTGCATGCCTGCTTTACAGAATGACGAAGTAGGGGTGCCAAGAGCGTGGAGAATGCGAAATAAAAGCTCCAGAAACGTGTTTTATATAGGCGCGGAATGGGCAAACCAAGCAAGCGAGGAAGGTCCGAGTGACTGGAGCTTTGGACTATCTCCACTAGGGTGGCAAACAGCGCTGCGCAAACTTGAGCCTGTTTTCCCCATAGACGTCACCACGCCCATACACAAAAATCTGTAAAGTAACGACTCCTGTCAGGCGAAGCGCTACATCTCTATAGCGTGACAAAACAGTGCAGTTAACGCGGCCGTGAACATGAGGAACACAGCGCTCGCTATCAACCTCACCGTTTTATAACCACCACTATCTCTTCTACATTCACTGTCCCGTTCCCTACGCCATCCCGACACATTGCTCTTAAGCTACCTAGCATGGCTCAATCCCATTACATTTTCCGGCGTTTTCATCGTGACAATGTGTCGTGTTGATGTCTGGCTTTATGGCAACAGTAACCATAAATGCGTAGTGCACATCAAAGCATCTCATTTACTAACAGAACTGAATGTAGGAGACTGGTCAACACAAAAGCAGCGAAGCCTTTCTGGCTATAAAGTGTCGCTTACATTTGCTGATACTCAATACTCATAATGTAGTCATGTCGAGGCCGCACATTCAATAAAAAACTGCAACATATGCATGGAGTGAATGATGAGTGGGTCGAAGCATACGTGCGTCCATATGTCTGTTCGTTGGCCCATCTAGTGAGCACTCAAAGTTCCACCATCTCGCATCTTTCCATCATACATCCATCAATAGAAGTACTGCCATCCAGCAGACATTGTAAGGACTAAACGAGAAGCTTCGGCTCAAAAAATAAAAACACTCGAGCAGGCCTTCCCTACCGCATCTCGGTGCCTTGCACGTGGCGTTCAGCAAAGGGGCTAGCCGCAAAACATGCCATCTGGGCTAACCATCGTCGAAGCATACGAAAACGCTACATTCATCTCCTGGCATTTTTTTTTCGTTTCCTCTTGCTTCATGTTCCTTTTGCAAAATGGTTTAGGAGACGTGACAGGTGGCCGAATTCAGGCAAAAAAAAATCTCGCTGACTTACGGCGGGGATGTCAAAGATTCGAGGATAAAGTCCCGCCGTCACTGTGCAGGGGGGGGGGGGGGCATTTTTTCACGCTGAGGTCATCTCAATAGGCTAAGTATACGGCACTCGCCTATAGCCCTAAATCATTTGGTAATATTCTGTCACGCGTTGTTATGGTGAAAACCTTCCGCAAGACTAGAAAGTGCCAAAATTTGGTGTGAGCGAACTTGTGTATGGCCAGTTTTTTTGTTTTTGTTTTAACCTTGAATCATGAGTGTCGACTGCCAGTACACTCAGATTCAATACATTCCTTTTAATGGACCATTGTGGTGATATAAACGGCAATACTAGCATATATCTGACGAACAGCCTTCCGCCCCTATTGCAAAAACAGCGTGATGTCAGTACGTTTTTTTTGGCACTGGTACACACTGGAGACACTGGTACACGCTTGTAATCACTGGCGCTTCGCTGGGCGCACTAGAAAAAAGCTGTGTCGCACTGGTAGGGGCGCTGGCTCAACCACTGTGATGCTGGTTCGCACTGAGAAGTGCTGGAAGCGCTGGGATTTTCACTGGCAAGCACCGGTGAATACTGGAGCACGCAATGTTTCTACTAGCGCAGCTGCAGCGTGCATGTTATTGTAGCGTGTGCCGTGGTTTGTTTCGGTGTCGTTGAATATAAAACGCTTCATTCGACGACAGGCAGATACGGCAGATACGACAGGCAGAGACAGACAGATACGGAGCATACGTAATTTTTGCAATTTTTGCGGCGAACGTACATATGGCAACATATGCCCCGTACATATGGCAACATATGCCCCGTACATATGGCAACATATGCTTTTTCGCATATGCACCCACGTAAACCGGCTATAATCGCATCATCCGTGTATTTCTGTAATGATTCCCAGTTGCAGTGTTTTTAAGCCTAGAGCTGCACGCCACTCCTAACAGAAACAGGAAATTGTTCTTGCCGCAAAGTTGAGGAAACGTAAATGAGCTCTCTCGATCGCTTCGCAAGGTTTCCCAGCGGAGGCGAGAAAAAAAGCTGTCCTGAAATTCCGTCACACTGCATAAATGTATGTCTGGTCATACTTGCCTTTCTACTTACTTCAGGTAAGAGTTAGAAAGGTTTTGAAGCTCAAATGCAGATTCTTCAACCATACCAGCCCAACGCGTCGAGAGTGGTCTTACCCAGTGCGCGGCCCAGCGAGCATTAAACCTGTCGTGCCAGCCGCGTTGGCATAAATGTTACCGGCGCTTCTTGCTTCGCGTACACACAACTTTAAAGTGTGAGAATAACTGTAAAGTATAGTTTAGACATCCATGAACCTAAAGCAACTATTTTTTTTGTGTCGATGTTCGCACAAGGAGCGCTGACGATCGAACGTCACGTTTTCAGCTACGCAGGCTGTCACCAAAAGCTGCCGGCCGCACTTCGCCGGTACTTCTCCGACTGATATGTAACAACACGTAGTTTTCAGTTGGTAATTTGGTAGGCCTTCATGAACTGAC